ATTTTTAGTCATAGAAAAACTATAGTGTTATGTTATATAGTATATAGTGTATACTCAGGAAATTTTACTTGTTTTAGTTTTAAGTAACAATAACTGCTTGTAACGTCAGGCTGATCTCACTCAGCATGACATGAATCACAGGCTGCTTGATCACGAAATCTATTGTGTTCACATATTGCTTATATAGATTTTTACTTTTATATTCTATTAGATTCAGATTCAGATTCAGATGTTTATTCAGGTAAGGTATATACATACAAGTGATGTTACATTAATGGATTGATATATAGATAAAGCTAGTACATACAATGCCTAAAGCCACTATTACGCAATGCGTTTCGGGCAAGAAAAACATTAATATCTAGAACTTAATACTAATTGAGCATAAAGAATAAAAAGTGTTGAGAACAAATACAAATAAAGATAAAAAAAAGGGGGAACATGACTGAAAAAGCAGCACAAATACAATAGGTTGACAGTGTTGATTAAAAAAAAAGAAAATAACGGACATGGGTTGACAATAGAGGAGTGAGGTAGGTTACAGGGAATTTATTAGGTAGTGTTTAGTTTTTATCTTAAACTGGTTGAGAGAGGTACTGTCTTTAACATGGTTGGGAAGGTCATTCCACATTCTGGGCCCCTTGATTTGTAGAGCATTTCTGGTTTGATTAAGTCGTACTCTAGGAATATCAAAACTGTATTTATTTCTGGTGTGATGCTCATGGGTTCTGTTACAACCTTCTATGAAGCTTTTGAGATCAGGATTGGCATTACAATTTAGCGTTTTGTATATGTATAGTACACATGAGAGAATGTGCAGTGACTTAATGTCTAACATATTCAGGGATTTGAATAGGGGTACCGAGTGATGTCTGGGGCCAGAATTGGATATTGTCCTAATAGCAGCTTTGTGTTGAGTAATTAGAGGACGTAAATGATTTTGGGTAGTAGAGCCCCAAGCACAAATACCATAGTTGAGATATGGATAGATAAGGGAGTAATAGTCAGTCACCAGGGCAAGGCGTGGTACATAATATCTGATCTTAGAAAGAATGCCCACAGTTTTTGAAACTTTTTTAGATATGTTTAGAATGTGTCCCTGGAAATTCAGCTTGTGGTCAATGAGAATGCCAAGGAATTTGCCATCTAATTTGTTACAAATTTGGGTATTGTTTATTTTGAGATTTATTTGATTAGAGGATTTATTGCCTTTAGAGGTTTTATTGTAGAGGATTTATTGATTAGAGGATTAGAGGATTTTATTTAGAGGATTATAGATATAGTCTATATATTTCGAGCTATTACATATATTTTGTTGTATTACTCAATCTTAAATAAATATATTATTTTAATTCTCTTTTTGTACCCTATTTATTTGTAATTTACACGTACATATATAGGATGTCCATTTCTTTCTCAGATATGTCTTCTTTCTTTCTCTCCCTTTCTGTTTCAGATATAATTTAAAAAATTATTATACCCTGATTTACCCTAAATGTTTTAATGTAGGTAATTAAAAGATTATAAAAAGGTTTTTTTAAATGTTATTTATTTACGTTCTAAGGTCGTATAAAAAAATTCTCAAAAAACATTTTTAAAACGTAATTATAAACGTGCTGAAAACAATGAAATGTCGTTTTTAGAACGTTTTAAAAACGTGAAAATGTTTGCTGGGAAGTAAATTTCAGAACCCATGTGGGACCTGAAAATTACAATTTTCCTTATAATTGAACCAATCACGACTATTCTGCTTTCTAGGTTGACGGACGGGTACTGTGAGAGGTAAATTGGTATGTGAGGAAGAGTTTGGGCCTTGGAAAAAAAAGTAACTGGGAATATATCACATATTTACTAATTCATATTCAACATATTGACTTTAAGCATTAAGTCATATATGTGCTGTCTTGTGTGAGAACAGGTTGCAAGAACCGCCCCTTAAGGGGTAACGTTTAATGCAGTGAAAAACATGATGGAAGTGCTTAGTAATGCCAGGAAATTGCAGAGTGAGGAGGTTGGCAAACTTTGGCCAATAAGGCAAGACCTCTCAAAGGAAGACAGAGAAAAGCTGAAAATGAACCTAATTGAAGCAAAATGTCTAAATGGGGACAGAAATTCTTTTTTCTACAAAGTGTCAGGGACTGGAAAGCTTGTGAAATGGTACATAAAAACAAAGCAACAAAATCAGTAGTGGAAGGGGGAGTAAAGAGCAAAGGGAAAGGGAACATGATCCTGAAAATTGTATATACCAACATAGATGGAGTGAGGTCAAAAACTTTGGAGTTGCTAGATATAATTCAGCTTAGGGTCCCAGATATTGTCGCATTAACAGAGACGAAACTTGAAAGAAATATATTAAATGAAGTCATATTCCCAAGGGGATATTCAGTTTGGAGACGTGACAGGAAAACTAGGAAGGGAGGAGGAGTGGCTGTGCTGGTGAAAGAACACCTGAAGGTAAGAGAGATAATATTTGAAAACCCTCGAGATAGTGACATAATGGCATTGCAGGTCTGGAGTCAGGATAATAAGCTGATAATTTTAAATACCTACAGCCCACCAACAAGCAACACATGGACAAAGGAAGAACTGGATGACAACGAGAGGGCCTCATAATGGTCATGAGAGATATTATTGTACAAGCAGATAAAGATAAATCACGACTGTTGATATTGGGGGACTTCAACTTTAAAGCAATAAACTGGAAGGCCTATGAAGCAAGAACGGAGGACTTTTGGGCATGCAGATTTGTGAACCTCATTCTGGAGACATTCTTGTATCAACACATAAAGCAGGCCACAAGAATGAGGGAAGGAGATGTACAGTCAGTACTGGATCTAGTATTCACCAGGAAAGAAGAAGAGATATTTGACATCCAGTACCTTCCTCCCTTGGGAAAGAGTGATCACGTCCTGTTAGATATTAAATATGCTTTAAGATATCATCTAGAAGAAAATGGGGACATTGACACAGATGATAAACTCGATTTAAGGAGAGGTCACTATGGGGAACTTCGAAATTTTTTTAATATGTGTAATTGGACAGACTTGTTGCTAGGCAGGGAAGTAAATGAAATGTATGCCAAATTTTGCAAAATATACGATGAAGGCACACAAACATTCATACTAAAACAGAGATGGAGCCAGAAAACAGGATTGGTTCAACAGAAATTGCGAGAGGGCCAGAGACCAAAAGACAAAAATGGAATCAGTATAGGAAGAGGCCAAACCCCCAAACATACCAGTGATACAAAGATGCGAGAAACAACTATATGGCAGTAAGGAGAGAGGCAGAAAGAAATTTTGAAAAGGGGATAGCAGATAAATGTAAAACAGAACCGGGCCTATTCTACAAATTCATAAACAACAAATTGCAGGTAAAGGATAATATCCAGAGGTTGAAAATGGGAAACAGATTCACGGAAAATGAAAAGGAAATGTGTGAAACATTAAATGAAAAGTTCCAAAGTGTGTTTGTACAAAATGAAATCTTCAGAGAACCAGATACGATAAGAATTCCAGAGAACATCATAGAGCGTATAGAGGTGTCTAGAGATGAAGTGGAAAATATGCTAAAGGAGCTCAGTAAGAACAAAGCAGTTGGCCCAGATGGAGTTTCACCATGGGTTCTGAGAGAATGTGCATCTGAGCTCAGCATTCCACTTCACCTGATCTTTCAGGCATCCCTGTGTACAGGAGTCGTTGCAAACGTGTGGAAACAGGCTAACAGTTCCAATCTACAAAAGTGGCAGCAGGGAAGACCCCCTAAATTATAGACCTGTATCATGCAACAGGCAACAGGTACTCTGAGAGAGAACTCTATCAACATCAGAGGCCCGAGACTGTTCAACACGCTTCCACTACACATATGGGGCATAACAGGCCGACCCCTCACAGTGTTCAAGAGAGAACTGGATAAGCACCTCCAAAGGATACCTGATCAACCAGGCTGTGACTCATATGTCAGGCTGCAAGCAGCCGCATCTAACAACCTCGTTGATCAGTCCAGCAACCAGGAGGCCAGGTCGACGACCGGGCCGTGGGGACGCTAAGTCCCGGAAGCACCTCAAGGTAACCTCAAGGTAACCATCATTGACTAGTGTAATAGTGAAAGTATTGGAAAACTAATCAAAACTAAATGGGTAGAACACCTGGAGAGAAATGATATAATATCAGACAGACAGTATGGTTTTCGATCTGGAAGATCCTGTGAATCGAATTTACTCAGTTTCTATGATCGAGCCACACAGATTTTACAGGAAAGAGATGGTTGGGTTGACTGCATCTATCTGGACCTAAAAAAGGCTTTCAACAGAGTTCCAGATAAGAGGTTGTTCTGGAAACTGGAAAATATTGGAGCGGTGACAGGTAAGCTTCTAACATGAATGAAAAATTTTCTGGCTAATAGAAAAATGAGGGCAGTAATCAGAGGCAATGTATCGAACTGGAGAAATGTCACAAGTGGAGTATCACAGGGTTCAGTTCTTGCACCAGTGATGTTTATTGTCTACATAAATGATCTACCAGTTGGTATACAGAATTATATGAACATGTTTGCTGATGATGCTAAGATAATAGGAAGGATAAGAAACTTAGATGATTGTCATGCCCTTCAAGATGACCTGGACAAAATAAGTATATTGAGCACCACTTGGCAAATGGAATTTAATGTTAATAAATGCCACGTTATGGAATGTGGAATAGGAGAACATAGACCCCACGCAACCTATATATCATGTGAGAAATCTTTAAAGAATTCTGATAAAGAAAGAGATCTAGGGGTTATCTTGGTTATCTTGAGATGATTTCGGGGCTTTTTAGTGTCCCCGCGGCCCGGTCCTCGACCAGGCCTCCACCCCCAGGAAGCAGCCCGTGACAGCTGACTTAACTCCCAGGTACCTATTTACTGCTAGGTAACAGGGGCATTCAGGGTGAAAGAAACTTTGCCCATTTGTTTCTGCCTCGTGCGGGAATCGAACCCATTATACTAGTTAATGATAGAGCACAAGTTAATGATACAAGGTACAAGTTAATGATAGAGCAAAATTTTCTATTGGTGGATAACACAGAATGTAATGTAGAATAAGAGATAAGAAATAAATCAGTCAACCAGATTGTCTAAAATGGTATGAAGAGTAGACAGCTCACTTGACAGAGGAGACACTGCACTGTTTGGCAAGTGCCACACACGGACTCGGCCAAGTTGATCGCCGACTGCTAAAAGTTTCATGTTTCTTTGGTTGAATTGCAGAGCAGTTACTGAAGAAGGTTTCTCAGCAGCTGATAAAATCAGGAAAGTCTGACAGTTCTTTAGACCAAAGTCATAGAGAGCAACTTCACCAGTGATGCGCCCCACAGCCACCACTAGAGGACGAGAAAGTGACCACTGGACACACCCTATGCCTTCTTCAGCATGTATTATACTTACTGGCTTGTTAGGCTGAAGAAGTGTGAAAAGTCGTATTTGATTATCCGAGGCAGCTGAAAGGATGGCATTTCGGTGATGAGGTGAAAACTGAGCAGTAATCACCCGTCCTGAGTGAGGAGCAAGGGTAGAAGAAACACATTTCATTAATCCAACACCAGAAAATTCCACTCCAGTTGGAACCTCGGAAGAAGTTGAGCAAAGAAACAAGCCACCTCCTTCAGCTCCCAAGATAAATAGCATGGAATCTTCAGAATTAAATGAAGCTGCAGTAATCCCAACTCCACTTGAGCCATCCATCTGTGTTCTGATTCCCCTAGGAGCATCTTGACCTTGAAGCATAAACCCAGATTTAAGAGGTAGCTGCTGCTTTGTGAGGTTTAGTTCCCACACAAGGACAAAGCCGCTGCTTGTTGTAGCTATAATAGTGCTGTGTATTCTAGACACTGTAGCCTCCCTAGCAATATTATCTACCCAAGAGAGTGTGGTCACACTGCCACCTCCACACTCCCCTGCTACTAGAGGGGTCACCTCCTCGGTGCGCGACAGGTCATACACCAAAATCTCTCCATTGAATGTTCCTGCAGCAAAGAGAGCTGGATTGGTTGGATGGAAAGCCAATGATAAGATGCAAGATGAAGCTTCAATGACTCTCTCTGGTTGGTTTGCATCAAAGTCACTCCTGTTTATGTTCCAGACAGCAACAGCTGTGAAAGAAACTTTTGCCCAATGTTTCTCGTCGGCGCCTGGGATTGAACCCAGGAATACAGGATAACAAGTCCAGTGTGCTGTCCGCTCGGCCAACCGGCTCTAGAACCGGGTTGTTCTAGATAGAAAACTATCACCTGAGGACCACATAAAGAACGTTGTGTGAGGAGCCTATGCCACGCTTTCTAACTTCAAAATTGCTTTTAAATATATGGATGGCGATATACTAAAGAAATTGTTCACGACTTTTGTTAGGCCATTAGGTTGGAACAAGTTAGGTGAGAAGGTGGTGGAGGCCAAGACCGTCTGTAATTTCAAAGCATTATATGACAAGGAGTGTTGGGAAGATGGGACACCACGAGCGTAGCTCTCATCCTGTAACTACACTTAGGTAATTACATGATAATGTATACAGGTACAAATGTAGACAGTCCTGCCAATGACCAACATGGCTTCTCAAGTAGTGTGGTGAAGTCACTGCTTGCACCATATCTGAACAAGGGCCACATATTATACACAGATAACTATTATACCAGTCCCTAGCTAACTAGGTTCTTGATTGATAACAGAACTGGAGTGTAAGTACCCAAGTGTAATTACTTAAGTGTAGTTACAGGATGAGAGTTACGCTCGTGGTGTCCCGTCTATCCAGCACTCATTGTTATATAACGTTTTGAAACTACTGACGGTTTTGGCCTCCACCACCTTCTCACCTAACTTGTTCCAACCGTCTACCACTCTGTTTGCGAAAGCGAATTTCTTATATTTCTTCAGCATCTTTGTTTAGTTAGTTTAAATCTATGACCTCTTGTTCTTGAAGTTCCAGGTCTCAGGAAATCTTCCCTATCAATTTTATCAATTCCTGTTACTATTTTGTGCGTACTGTAGTGATCACATCACCTCTTTTTCTTCTGTCTTCTAATTTTGGCATATTTAATGCCTCTAACCTCTCCTTGTAGCTCTTGCCCTTCAGTTCTGGGAGCCATTTAGTAGCATGTCTTTGCACCTTTTCCAGTTTGTTAATGTGCCTCTTAAGATATGGGCACCACAAAACTGCTGCAAATTCTAGCTTTGGCCTAACAAAAGTTGTGAACAATTTCTTTAGTATTTTGCCATCCATGTATTTAAAAGCAATTTTGAAGTTAGAAAGCGTAGCATAGGCTCCTCGCACAAGGCTCTTTATGTGGTCCTCAGGTGATAGTTTTCTATCTAGAACCACCCATAGATCTCTTTCTTTATCAGAATTCTTTAAAGATTTCTCACATAATTTATAGGTTGTGTGGAGTCTATGTTCTCCTATTCCACATTCCATAACATAGCATTTATCCACATTAACCCCTTGTGTTGCTAAGGGCTATTTGGCCATTTTCACCCACAGCCGCATAACGAAAAAAAAAAAAATGTTTTTCTTCTAATCCTGTTAATTTGTGTTCCCTGATCATAGGAAAAATAATAAAAAAATCGTTAGTGGCATATTTTGCCTGCTATTGGGCGGGGGAAGTCTGGCAAAAAAAAAAAGGCGCTGACTCAGCGTGCGTCGGAGGTGGTCTGCTCAGCCCCAGCAGTCAGGCAGGAGTGGCCACAAAGATATTATTACCTAATTATTTCAATGTCTCTGATTGATTTTTCTTTGTTTTTGCTGTAATATTATTCAATAGTGTGTAGTGTGATATATTTATATAATAAAATGTGTGAATCATCGCTGTACTCAAAATTATTGTGTGCATATTATTTATTCAATTATTGTGTTCATAAAACAATAAACAAATACTTTGTTAGTTATTACACTATATACACAGGTTATATAAACGTATCTGCATGTTTTGTTCACCATAACGAACCACTAAGTTGATATTGCGAGTAAAAAAGCAGCGAGATGTGGCCACCACATCTGCCAGCCAGCCACTTACTACCACTATCTCCCTCAATGACTTCACTCGCCCACATTCTCCTCGCACCATACCGTTTTTGCTTTTATACACTATATACAGATGTTATGTATAAGTATCTACATGTTCTGTTCACCATAACTGTTCATCTAAGCTGGTATAGTGCCCAAAGAGCATAGTAGCCACCCCTACCCAGCATGACAAATCATGCAGAAGTTGCCACCTCCCTCACCAAAATGGCTTCTCCCCACACTCCTTTTGCTGTTATTAAACTACAGTACAACCTTGATTCAACGTACTATATGGGACCAGCCCCAGTTCGTTGGAGCGTTGGATTCGTTGCAAGAGGTGACCTTCAGGAGGCGTTTGTGTCAGTCTTTTTTTTTTCTTGTACACAATAAAAATGCATTATCATATTGCATACTGTACCTATATATTACAGTACTTCTCTACTAAAAAATACTGTAATTCATAAATTTACCTTATTGTTGAAGTTATGTCCATCTTGAAGTTTCGTGACTTTGTGAATGCTCTACAGTACAGCTGTTCTCGTGCTGGGTACAGCTGTTCTCGTGCTGGGTACAGCTGTTCTCGTGCTGGGTACAGCTGTTCTCGTGCTGGGTTCGGCTGTTCTCGTGCTGGGTTTGGCTGTTCTTTTCCTGGGTACGGCTGTTCTCGTGCTGGGTACGGCTCTTCTCGTGCTGGGTACGGCTGTTCTTGTGCTTGGTATGGCTGTTCTCTTGCTGGGTACAGCTGTTCTCGTGCTGGGTACGGCTGTTCTCGTGCTGGGTACGGCTGTTCTCGTGCTGGTTGATTTTCTGCTATTAGTTCTTGCAAAATATTGCTTCATTTTTGGTATTAATAAGGCACTATTAGTAAGCCCCTGAGACATTTTTTTTATAACCAAAGAGCTGTAGTAAAAAATGGTCAATTCCACAATTATTCTTCCACTGGCGGATAAATACTGTACGTCAATCGCAGACAAAGCTAAGGGCACTGGGTGCATACTGTACGAACACAGACTAAGTCTATACGTACACGCTTCAGTAGGCTGGTGTTTAAGACAGATCCAGTAACATAAATTTCTCTTAAATATTCAATTTAAATCAAATTATATATTTTGGGTTATATATTTAGTTTAGCAACATTATTACGATAATAAGACCTATAAAAAATACTTATTTTGGAACTGATTTATTAATTTTATTATTTCGAAGCCGTAGGTCACTGAACTGTGGCAACGAAATTGAACAAAACACCGCCTGGTGCTATGTTCGATTTCCAGTAACATAAATTTCTCTCAAGTATTTTATTTACATTAAATTATATATTGTTGGGTTACATATTTAGTTTAGCAACATTATTACGGTAATAAGAGCTATAAAAAATACTTTGGAACTGATTTATTAATTTTATTATTTCGAAGCCGTAGATCACCGAACTGTGGCGACGAAATCATACAAAACAAGCATGGTGTTGTGTGGACAGAGATTAGACCCGTCCACTCGTGCTGGAGTTGTGCCGCCAATAACGTGAATAGTTTCTCAAATACTTTAACAGATACCCATCATATTACAGTATATTTTTTGTTTTATTTAGTTTAGTTTAATTAGGATAATAAAGAGTTATTAAAACACCAGTTTTAGAAATGATTTATTAATGTGTGTTACAAATGATATGAGTGGGGCTTCTATGGGGTACTGGTACTATTAAGGGGTATAGGTAGTTAGAAGACAGGAGTATCATATATGGGAGCTAAAAGGCCCGGCCCCCAAAATAAACTATCCACAGTAGTAATAACTTGCTAGAAGACCAAATATGTTCGTCTAAGGGTTGATCACTGCGCTCCCACCTTGGAAGAAGAGATACTCTGTAATTCATGTACTTATTTATTAACCCGTTAACAACCCCCCATATACACTCACACCAATAACAATAATAATAATAACTTTACCACACTATCTTACGTTAAAAGCCTTGGTCCACGTAGGCAGGATACAAGGTTTACACTAATAACAAGCTAGGGTAAAGTACTACTGGATAAGCACTGAAGCTGGATGCAGCTTAGGGTAGTGAAACCACGTGGGACCCTAATACAAAACACAACACTTAGGGGTACCCAAACACTGGCAAAATACTATCCCCAGGTCTCACCAATCGTTACTACCAGAGTAGGCACACTCACTAATGCCCTGTACTTAGCTTAAGGATACAGGAACTTCAGGTAAGGGAAATAAGTAAGAGGAGAAGGAAGGAGAGTAGGGATACAGCCACAGAGTAGGTCTTAACCTCACGCCACCAGCCAAGAGAAGCCCGAGCTAGCCACCAGCTGCCTCCCTCAATGTGAAACATTCAAAGTCATGGGTCACTGAACTATGACAACACAGACGAAAGTGAGTGAAACCTCACTGTAAAGTGAAGTTTACTCTACAATATTCCCTTATCTGTTCATCCTCACTCGTCTTGTTTCACCACAGAAAATGTATATAAGAAGATTTCAACACATTAGCTAGCTATTCACGCTTCAACCTTTGAATTAATTTACAAAGATACATGTGCGACCAATCGGTGAACGAAAATCATTGAAACTCAGTCGTTCACTTGTGTGGACGACTCTGGCTGGTGTTTGGTTCATATGATTCACTTGTTGTGTGGTCTACTTGTGTGATCCAACTTGTCATATGAAGGAATTATTAATTGTAATCTGTGATGGTATGGTAAAGTTTTCCACCACTCTGTGAACTCTGTCCCAACATCATAAGCTTGTGAACCAAATGTGGACCACTTGTGCGGTCCACTTGTGCGGTCCAATTGTGTGATCGAAAGTGTCATATGAAGGAATTAATAATTGTAATCTGTGAAAGAATGTGAAAGTTTTCCACCAATCTGTGAACTCTGTCTGGACGTCGTAAGCAAATCCGAACATCCCCCGCTTCGGCGAACCATTGTTCGTCGAACAGGGTGAGTAAATCCGGCCTGAAAAGTGTGCGAACTAACCGGAGATTCGTTGAATCGGGGTACGTTGAATCGAGGTTGTACTGCACTGGTATATATATATACATTATATATAAGTATCAACATTTATAATCATAATAACAAACCACTAAGTTGGTATGCTGAGTGACAGTGGCAGCCTGCCACTGGCTGTCACTCCCTCACTCACATCACCTGACTCTCCAACATTCGCCTCCCACCACACTGTTTTTGGTTTTATTCACTATATACGTGCGCCGCGCCTGTAGGCTCACGTCTGGTTTGCGCAACGCACCTCCGGGTATTTGTATTTTTCACGATCCATTCAAAACTCCCGCGGCTACATGGGGTTCACATTAGCTTCCTCAGGGCTCTTGTAAACAGACGCCATCTTTAAAAAAAATCGCTGTCCACATTCCCAGGTGTGAGAGCCTCAATAGTGAGTTAGCAACCAAGGCTGGCGCACGCAGCATGAGCGCACAGCACTGCTGTTCAGCGTGTGACCACAGCATCGCCTAATAATGTCAAAATATATATATAACTTGTATTATTTAGCTATGATAGTGTTATATTAGAGCCTGAGTGTGATAATGACTGGGTACAATGTTCAAATATCAGTGATTCAATGCTGTTCACGATGTTCACAGCGCTAGCCACAGCACCACAGCATTATTTCGTTCATCTAGGAATCTTCAAATGATTTCTTAGGTTCCTTTTCAAAATAAACGTGTGGTCAATTATTCATTTACAGGAATTAGTGACCAGGATTGTGATAATAGCAGGATTGTAGTTATAATTAGCGTTGTGCGTAGTATTGTGGAAGGAGGAATTTTGATGAGGGAGGGAGGGCGAGAATTGAGGTAGCCTCATTGTGTGTGTGTGGCAGCCACTCTTGTTTTGCTCACCATACTAGCTTAGTGGTTCGTTATGGGCAACACATATGTACATGGGTATATACAGTGTGTGTATATAGTGTAAGAACAGCAACAGGAGAATGTTGAGAGGAGCTATTTTGGTGAGGGAGGTTACGTTGTAATCGTAGCGTCGTCTGCTGTCTGCTGTGTGATTTTTCATAACAGCAACAGGAGTATGTTGATAGGAGCTAAGAACATAAGAACATAAGAACAAAGGTAACTGCAGAAGGCCTATTGGCCCATACGAGGCAGCTCCTATTTATAACCCCCCAATCCCACTCATATAAATGTCCAACCCACGCTTGAAAGAATCAAGGAACCCCCACCTCCACCAAGTTACGTGGCAATTGGTTCCACAACAACAATAACCCTGTTACTGAACCAGTATTTACCCAAGTCTTTCCTAAATCTAAACTTATCCAATTTATACCCATTGTTTCGTGTTCTGTCTGGTCCATACGAGGCAGCTGTTATTGGCCCATACGAGGCAGCTGCTATTGGCCCATACAAGCTATTTTGGTGAGGGAGGTGACATTGTAATCGTAGTGTCGTCTGCTGTCTGCTGTGTGATTTCTCATGCAGTGTATGGTGGCAACTGTACTGTTTGGACACAATACCGGCTTACTTGCATAGTTCTGGTAAATAATGTTGGCGAGTAAGATGTTGGAGTGAGGGAGACTGGCTGGGTGTGGCTGCTCTCACTCGAGGTGTTCTGAATGTCTTGATGGTGAATGTATATAGTGTGTGACAGTGTATAGTGTGTAAATAGATTGTATACATACATAAATTAGCATGATACATAGTAAATATGTGCAGCATATGTGTACACAAGTGTCATGCACATAACACAGTGTCTTCGGACAGTACAGATGTTTTACTGCCATAATATAGTGTACGTGTTCATTATACATAGGATTAGCACCAAAAAACAAATAAAATGTATTTGGAACTGTGCGCAAAAATTGAATATAACGATAGTTCACGACTGTTGATAGTCGGCGACTTCAACTTGAAATCCATAGACTGGGAAGCATGTGAAGCTAAAACAGAAGATTTCTGGACCTGTAAATTTGTAGACCTCATCCTGGAAACATTCTTGTATCAACATGTTAAACAAGCTACGAGGATGAGGGAAGGTTATCTCGAGGTTATCTTGAGATGATTTTGGGGC